TGTTCTCCCTACGATTGGGAGCAAGGCTAGGATGTCAATTCTCATCACTTCTGTGCAACATTTACTACAGGTCTTAGCCAGGGCAAAAAGACAATTAGGAGGAAATAGAGACATGCAAATAGAAAAAGAAGTAACAGTATTTGCAGATTATGTGATTTGCAGATAATGTGATTAACTATGGAAAAATTCCTGCTGAATCAAGAAGATCATTTGAAGCCAGGAGTTAGAGGTTGCAGTATACTATGATGTACCTGTGAGTAGCCACTCTATTCCAGCTTGGGCAACATAGTGTGACACTCTTTCTTAAAATTAAAATTAAAAATAAAGGGCCAAAGTGGCTCACGCCTGTAATCCCAGTACTTTGGGAGACCAAGGCAGGAGTTTGAGAATTTGTAATTAATTGGGAGTTTGAATCCAGCCTGGGCAACATGGCGAGGCTTCATCTTTACAATAAATCTCTACATCTGTAGTTCCAACTTCTTGCAGGTCTGAGGAAGGAGGCCCAGCAGGTCAGGCTGTGGTAGCTGTGATCATGGCACTGTACTCCAGCCTGGGCGGCAGAGAGAAACTTCAGCTCAAAATAATAACAATAATAATAAATGTTAGTTGAGTATGATGGCACACACCTGTATTCTCAGCTACTCAGGAGGTTGAGGTGGGAGTATTGCTTTATCCCAGAGTGTGAGGCTGCAATGAATTATGATAGCACCCCTGCACTCCAGCCTGTATGACAAAGCAAGATCCTGACTTTATTTTTATTTTTGAGTCGGAGTCTCACTCCAGGCTGGAGTGCAGCAGCATGCTCACAGCCACTGCAGCCTCAACCTGCTGGGCTCAGGCAATCTTTCTGCCTCAGCCTTCCACATAGCCAGAACTACAGGCGTGTGCTACCATGCATGACTAATTTTTTGATTTATTGTAGAGATGAGGTCTCGCCAGGTTACCCAGGTGGGTCTCGAACCTGCGGGCTCAGGCAATCCACTCACCTCAGCCTCCCAAAGGGCTGGGATTACAGGCTGAGCCACTGAACCCGGCTACATAAAATACTTTAAGGATAACATTTAGCAAAATATGTGCAAGCACTGTACACTGAACACCATGAAACATTAGTTAAAGGAAGACTTAAGTAAATGAACCAGGGGACTCAATATCATTAAGAAACCAAATTGATCAACAGATTCAAAGAAATTCCAATCAAAATCCAAGCAGGCATTTTTTGTAGAAATTGACACATTTTCAATAATTTACACAGAATTGTAAAAAGAACTTAGAGTCGTCAAAATTATTTTGAAAGAGAATAAAGTTGGAGAACTTAAAACCCACTATAAGGCTATAGTAATCAAGATAATGTGATATTAATGATAGACATATAGATCAATAGAACAGAATAGAGCATCCAGAAATAGATCCTCATATATTATCAACTGATTTTTTTTTTTTTTGAGTTGGAATCTCACTCTGTCGCCCAGGCTGGAGTGCAGTGGCACACTCCCGGCCACCCCAGGGTCGACCTGCTGGGTTCCCGTGATCCTTCCACCTCAGCCTTCCAAGTAACCGGAACTACAGGCGTGTGCTACCACGCCCGACTAATTTATTTATTTATTTATTTATTGTAGAGACGAGGTCTCGTCAATTTTGCTCAGGCTGGTCTCAAACTCGCAGGCTCAGGCAATCCACTTGCCTCAGACTCCCAAAGTGCTGGGATTACAGGCTGAGCCACAGATCCTGGCCTCAACTGATTTTCTATAAAGGTGCTGTAATGGAATGGTGTCCTCCAAAAATTCATGTTTACCTAGAACCTCAGAATGTGACCTTATTTGTAAACATGGTCTTGGCAGATGAGGCCATGTTGATTAAAGTGGGCACTAAATGAAATTCTTTTAAGAAGAAGAAAATTTTGACACTCACTCAGAGAGCATGCCATGTGACTATGATTACAAAGATTAGGGTGATGCAGTTACAAACCAAGAAACACCAAGAATTGCTGGAGGCTAGGAAGCATGAGGAAGGATTGTACCCTAGCATCTTCAGAGAGAGAGCATGGCCTTACCAACACCTTGATTTTGAACTTCTAGTCTACAAAACTGAGAAAATTAATTTCTATAGTTTTTTTTCTTTTGTTTTGTTTTGTTTTGAGTTGGAGTCTCACTCGGTTGCCCAGACTAGAGTGCAGTGGCCGCTCCCGGCCACCGCAGCCTCGCCTGCTGGGCTCCAGCGATCCTTCTGCCTCAGCCTTCCAAGTAGCCGGAATTACAGGCATGCGCTACCATGCCCGGCTGATTTTTTGATTTATTGTAGAGACGAAGTCTCGCTGCCCAGGCGGGTCTCGAACCCGCAGGCTCAGGCAATTCACTCACCTCAGCCTCCTAAAGGCACAAGATTACAGGCTGAGCCACCGAGCCCGGCTTAAATTTCTATAGTTTTTAGCCACAGTTTGTTGTAATTTGTTATGGGAGCCCTAGAAAATTAGTTAACAAGTTACTATCATTTTTTTTTTAGTTGTATGCACTTAACCATATAATCCAGCAATTTCAAGAGAAATAAAAATATACAACCTCACAAACATTTATTTTATAGCAACTTTATACATAATGGCTCCAAACTGGAAACAATTCAAATGTCCATCAACTTGTGAATGGGTAATAAAATTGTGATACTGTATATTTATAAAATAGAATATAAATTCAGCAATAAAAAGAAACTTCTGACTACATGCAACCTACATGGATAAATCTCAAAAGCATTGCACTAAGAGAAATAAACCACATACACGAGACTACATAGTATACAACTCCATTTATATGACCATTCTAGAAGAAACCAAAACATAGTTACAGAAAGTGAATCAGTAGTGGCAGAGGCTGAAGGTGAACAGAGGTGTCTGACTGCAAAATGCACAAGGAACTTTTTGAAGTGACTAAAATGAAACAAGGGTATCATGTTTGTCATGGTGGTCATATGGCTGAATATACATGTCAAAACTTGTCAAACTGTATACTTAAAATAGGTGAATGTAATGAATCTTAAATTTGCTTCAATGAAGGTAGTTTCAAAAGACTGCTAGAATTAGGCTATAAAGAAATATCTTTGTCAACAATTTCTCTTCCCAGTCCAAAGCAAGTTTTTTGTTGGCCATCTATTAAGATATTGCAGAATTGTTGCTGTGCTATAGTGTAGGAAAATGTTTCCTATATTCGATTTTAGGATGGTGGGTAGGAAGAAATTCCAAATGTTGTTCTATGACCTCTTGGTTTATCTAAAATACAAATAACTGATACTCAAAAGATATTTCAATGGAAACAGAAATACTGTACATCTGACATTTACAAAACGATTGTATTCTCTACCCGAGATTGTATTTATTTAGTAAAATTCTGTTTTATTTGTTTGAAGTTTTCAATCTATAAAAATTAAGGACACAAACCATTTTCCCAAGACCCCCACAGTGCTGAGAAGAGAAGACAGCAAAACTAGTCACTTTACTAAGCTTAGTAAGCACTCCTTAGGCTTAGCTAGCAGCTCCTATGGTAGAGTAGACATCTGTCATTTAAATATATTTTTCCAGAGCTGTACATGATGGCTCACACCTGTAATTTGGGAAGCTGAGGTGAGAGGACTGACTGAGCCCACAGGTTCAAGTCCAGCCCAGGCTACTTGGTCAGACCTTGTCTTTACAATAAATCAAAAAATTAGTTGACTGTAGTGGCACATGCCTGTGGTTCCAGCTACTTGGAAGGCTGAGGCAGAAGGATCACCTGAGCCTAGCAGGTCGAGGCTGAGGTGGCCATGAGCATACCACCGTACTCCAGCCTGGGTGACAGAGTGAGACTCCAACTCAATAAACAAATAAATAAATAAAATTTTCTGGTAAAAGTATGGTCACAGTATTCTGGGAAACTCTTGGTCAGATTCCACATTTTAAACCTGGAACTCCCCTGACCCTTTTACCTTAATAATTTTTTATTCTTTTCTCTGAGAAACAAATAGAACAGGAAAATTGGTTATTGTCCATTGTTCTGATGTAAATTATGTAAGCTAGTATGTGCATCTTTCTCAAGAATAAAAATTAAATACATTATACAAATGTATATATTGTCACAAAGGGAGTATGTAATCCTTACTTAGTGTTTTATTATTGCTACTAGAGAGTAGGAAGGAAAGTACTCTTTGAAACAGCCTCAATTAAGAGAACTCTGGCTGGCTATGACCATGGCCCCGATAATAAAAGGAGCCAGACCATATCCCTCTTTTTTTTGGAGTCGTAGTCTCACTCTGTTGCCCAGGTTGGAATGCAGTATCACACTCATGGCCACCGCAGCCTTGACATGGTGGGCTCAGGTGATCTTTCTACCTCAGCCTTCCTAGTAGCTGGAACTACAGGCGTCCACCACCATGCCTGGCTAAGACTTTTTTCCAAGCAATTGTGGGCACAAGCATCTCTGTCTTCCACTTAAGCAAACAAAAGAAGTGTGTGTGTGTGTGTGTGTGTGTGTGTGTGTGTGTGTGTGTGTGTGAATACTTCAAAACCACTAGGTCTTGTGAAAAAACAAGAGCATTCACCAACAGAGGACTAAAATTAGTGTGGGTATTCTGTGATGTTATCATTTGGGTTAAAGAATAAAGAAGCAGAAAATACTGGTTCCTTGGTACCAAAAATTGTTTTGTCTAATTGCTTGATTTTAAAGATCTAGCCCATGATTTGGCAAAACTGTAAAATACACAAGTTCATTCTTGATGGATACTAACTAGTTCAAGATATACCTGATGTGATCCACAAATATACATGATCAGTGCTTTCCAAATTGACAAACCCCTTTTCTAGTTTTACTCCACTGGTTCTAAGCCAGCATCTGAGTTTGTGTTTCTAGTAGGTCACATGATATTAAGGTAGAATTTATTAAATCATTTATTAGATTGTAAGAATACTGAGAAGAGTAGGGAAGAGTGCTGTACATACCATTGGCCTGTGCTGAACATGCCACCTGTGGTCTTCTTTCCAGAGAGATGTTTTCCGTGATCTTGGCAGGGGGATTCTGGACAGTGCTTGGCAAGGTTATAATGCTACTCTCCTGGCCTACGGCCAAACTGGCTCTGGAAAAAGCTATTCCATGATTGGGTTTGGTGCAAACAAGGGCATTATTCCAAATGTCTGTGAAGAACTCTTTCAAGCCATTGGGAACCAGGAGAGACATCAAGAATATCAGGTACGTGTTCTAGAAACCCTTCTTCAAGGAGTTGTACTTTTTCATTTTGGATTCCCTCCTGTTTTAGGATAAGGTTATTCTCCATACAAAATGTTTATATGATCTGTTGCCATTAAATAAGATGCTGAATTCTTTGGTTCTACAGAAGCAAATCCAAGGAAATATATATATATGTGTGTGTTTGGCTTTTTTTTTTTTTTGAGTGGGAGTCTCACTCTGTCGCCCAGACTGGAGTGCAGTGGCC